ACTTCTGTATTTGTAGTGATTATGTCTTATGTATGCTTTATGTTTGTGTGGATATGGGAATGCCCGGTGCTCATTGAGTGACGATATTCGGCCGTAGTCCTCGAGTAGTCTTTCTGTTGCTTAATCATGGGGAGATACTGGTGATTGATTGAGTTTTGATCTATGCTTTAGTCAATGGATTCTGTTTAGGTTAGGAGATTGCCTTTGGGGGGTTATCATTGAGATGTAAGTTATGCAATTGCTTTATTTTGCTGCTGTACTAGCTTTGGTTTTTCTTGCAGTTAGTTAGAGATAGTACTGAACCTTAGACTCTTAAAATGGATTGAAGTTACATGAACATTCTTGGTATTGTTGAATCTTTTGATCTTGCTAAACATGGTAGTGATGTGTCATACTTTGTGGTGTGGTACTGAAGCTTGAATATCTGTGTAAAGTTTACATAAAATGTGTTTTTTTCCAGTTGCCAGCATATAATTAAATGATTGATTTTCTTTACTCAAAGTGAGAACTGAGTAAAGGGACGAGTGCGTGGATCCATCTTAAGGTGGCTGTTTTACAGTGTTGTTGCCTTGGCTATCTCAGGACCGTGAAGACTTTGCTAAGTGTTTCTCTATTTAGGCTGTATATTTGGACTCAATACATATGATCTTGTCTATTTGATGCCTGATATGGAGTATGAATAAAATTAGTGTCTATACTCACTTGTTTTGGAATACAATTGTGATAGGCTCGTTAAACAAATATTTTGAGTGCTAGTAGTTTAATTTCAAAATAAAATAAAATATTTTGAGTGCTAGTAGTGATGTAGCAAGGAATAGAAACAGAAAATAATAGTGCTAAGGATTAGTAGTTAAACGATGAATTCAACTATTAAAGTTTTAAACGATGAACCATAAACTTTCTAGATAAACGAAGAACTTGTTAAATGCTAGCCTCCAAATCTCCAATGGGGATAGTCTTCCTAGTCAAGGGGTAGATGAAGATCTTCTTTCCACCACTAAGTCAGAGGAAAATGTGAAGGTGGGACTCTTTCCTTCTCGGAACTCTCAAGTTGTCTTTAGTTTATCTTCACTATTAATTTTATCACATCAAATTCTGTCAAGGTTTTGAATGAATATTTGCACCTCACTGATCCTAGTCTCCTCCATACTAGTGTGTTTAGATGAAAATCAAATATTGTCGGGTGGTAGGAATGGTGTATGCGAACTCATCATCCCTTGCAGATAACAGTTTGTAAACAGGCAGTGTTGTGCTGATTCATTTTTGTTCTCTGGTCCTAATTCTCCAGAATTTGAGCCAGAAGGTCTACCGGAAACGACCTCTCTACCCCACAAAGGTATGGGTAAGGTCTAAAGTACATCCTACTCTCCTAAACCTCACTTGTGGGATTACACTAGGTTGTTGTTGTTGTTATCCTAGTTCTCCAAAGTGATGTTCTGACTAAACAACTGAAATGTTGTATATTTCATGTTACTGTTTCTGATTCCAAATTATGTGTTGTAACTAGTAAGTACCATCTTTTTAGCATTGGAATCTAAGTTGCATGAACTCTTCACTTTCGTTGCCGCACTTGTGTTGGATTCTCCAAAAATACACTACTTTTGGAAAATCTGACTCGCATCCATTGACATTTTTGAAGAGTCCCAAGCAAACATAGATTGGCATAACTGGTGTTGGTTTCATAACGGAAGTTTTGGTGACAAGTTGAGCTACTAAGAGACTATTAGGGGCAGCCTGACTTTAGTATATAGATCAATTTGTGTGTCAAGCTTCACTCTGAATGCCTTCTTGATTGAGAACCTTGAGACATGGGTCAAGTTGAACTCATTGCCATCATTAGCATTTTTTTTATGACAAGGGAAATTCGCAGTCGCTACCCCACTTTGAGTGTGCACAGGATAAAAGCCCCGCTCTTATCCATTAGCATTTTCCTCAGACTGAAGGTCAATCCATTGAATTGTTCAAGTTTGACTCAAGTTTTGACATATACTTCAGTGGAGGAATCAATATCAGAAATAGAATCACTGTCTACAATATCAGCTTGGTTGTAGACAGTAGGGATTACAGTAGGATAAGCAAATTTGATTTCTGATTCTGCTCAAGTCAAGGGTTTAGGGGTAAGGTTTGCTTACGTTCCACTCCCTTCGTCCCTACTTGTGGAACACACTGAATGTTTTGTTGTAGTTGATCAATGATTCTGCTTTAGATGGAAGCCAAAAGGAAATTTGTGGATTATATATGCATTAACTATGCAAGGGTTAGGCATTGAAAAGTCAAATCAAATCGAAAAAAAAAATTCTGACTAGGTCGGGTTTATTTTGATTTGGTAACAAAAATAAACTGAACCAAATCGATAAATTAAATGTATAATTTTAAAAAGCAAACTTTTAAAGATTTGATATTGGATTTTCTTTGAAAACATGACGAGAAATATTTATGATTCTCTTATTGGATGTGATATTATTTATTTAATAGAATTGTGTAATGCATTCATTTTTATATACTGCTTAATATATATATATATATATATAATGGAGTGTTGTTGAAATTTATCAATCTATTTGTTCTTTGCAAGATATATTGAACTCTTATATTATTGTTGAATTTGAGATGGAATATTTCAGTAATTTTAAAATTAAATATAGCGTATTGTCTTTTAGGTTTATATTGAGTTGTGTTTGATTATTAAAATTTAGTTAAGTTTGAATGCATGCATTATTGAAAATTATTGTTAGACTAATTACATAGCTATTATGTGTTCAATAGAACATATATTACGCATTTTGTCAATTATTATTATTGATTTGGTAAAAATCGACAGAACCAAATGTACACCTCAACTTTGAAACCCCACTTGAATCTAACACCAAAGGTTCAAATTGCCTTGTAATTCATGACACTGCATTTGAGTTATTTTATGGAAAAATTATTTAAATACACAATTTATTTTATTATATTTTTTTAAAATTTTCTATCATTTGAAAAAAATTACAAAAATTCCTACTGTCTCCTATTTTCGGATGATGTACATGATGTATCGTTGAGTGATGTATCCGAAATCAAGATACAATGTATCATGTATTTGGATTTCCTAAATTTAAGGGATTTTTGTAATTTGAAAAATAGTAGAAATATGATGTAATTAGCTTTTAACATTATAAGATTTGTGTAAAATTTAGTACTTTTTTTTATCCAACCCATTTAATTCTACGTGAATTGGGCGAGTTAAATGGGTTTGGACCAAATTTGTTACCTTTATATGCATTATATGTCGCTTAATTCCTACTAAACTTAAAATGATAGACACGGAAAGTTTGTTTAAGACATAACTTAGTTCCTATATTACATAGTCATACAAGTAAATATAGTTAACTAATTAAACAAAATATTTTTCCAAAGGGTAATTTTTTATTACAAACTAATTAAAGAAAAGGTAAACTGTCAAATTAAAGTTTAGCTAGTAATCAAGGACAAATATACAGAGCTTAAGAGTAATTAAGATCATTGAGATGAAATTTTTTAGGATTATGGTATTGCTAACAATTATGTTGAGTATTCATCTGAATTAACATAGTGATTTATCTAAAATTACAATTAACAAGGTTTAATATTATGAATAAAAATTTCTCGAGTCTTAACTCGAAAGCATTTAATTCAAAGTTCAAGAGTATAAAATTTAAAAGTTTTTTTTTTTAATTTCTTAAAATTTAATGAGAAATCAAAACCAGACAAACAAATTGAAACGAAGAGAGTAATAAATAAAATGCATACTTTACTATAATTAATATTCTTGTATAATCTCAACGAACAAGTAAAAGTACACATAGAGAGTACTAATACAGGAAAAATTACTTGGGTGCGTATTTTTTAATAAATAATTACTTAGTTTAATAATATTTTTTTATTTATTACCATTTATAGCAATACATAATAATATTATGGTAAATCTGCACTATATATTAAAAGTAAATTATTCATATAATATAAATGTATTATAAGTGTTCTAAGTGTATTAAAATATGTGATAAATATATTACTCACCAACAAAATATGTATTATATATGTTACATAAATTATTCTCTGTATTATATATTAAAACTGTATTTTATATGTATTATAAATGTTAAGTAAAAAAGAAACTATTCTTACTATAAATAGTGAATATTTTCTTAATATAACATATTTACTTAACAAAAACAATTGCCGACCTACATTATTATTGGTAATATTTTCCTCCAATGTCCCTCCAAAATACTTTCTATATATATCATCCTTTTTTATTTTCCATAACAAAAATCAATATTTTTTTACTAGTATAAATTTAAATATCATCTTAATATTTCATCATCAAATTGTCCACTTATTTTTTTCATATTATTTTTACGTGCCCACATTGCCTTCTTCACACATTTATTTTTTTCCTCATAACACAAAGAATGATGAATGCTCAAGTTTCTCTTGCCTTCTTTTTCTTATGTTTCATCATTCTAATTTCAGGTGACATTTTTTAAACTTTTTCTATGTAAAATTTGATGGTATATTGAATTCGTAATCCATAATTTCTTATAATAATTACGATATTTCAGTGCTAAAAAAAGTTAAATCGATCGAGTTTATATACTAGATGTCTCTGTGTTTGGATTTGACTATTCAGAGTAGAGCAAATAAATAATATAATAATCTCAAGTCAATGTATAATAATAACGGGATTAACTGTCAAATTTTTATAGATATTTTAGTGAATTTTTATATATAGAGAGAGAGAAAGAGAGAGGCGGAGTCGGTATCTGAAGATTCCTATTGGATTCTAATAAGTTATTTGTATATATTCAATTAGTTTCTTAAGACAAATACAAAGTTTAGACCAAAATTATTATATTCCGTCTACAGGGTCCAAACAAAAGTTATTTGGGAATGTGATTGATTGATTGAAGATAATTCATATAGTCGATGTCAATTAATTTAAGTTTGAGACGTAGTTGATTGATTGACTAATATTTTTCATTTTGTTCTTTTTTTTAATAAATGAAACAGGGGCCTTATCAGCAACATTTACACTAGTAAATCAGTGCAATTATCAAGTATGGCCTGGAATTTTATCAGGTGCAGGCACACCCCAACTTGCTCCAACAGGATTCATGTTAAACCCCGGCCAGTCCGTTTCGGTTTCCGTGCCAACGGGCTGGTCGGGTCGTTTATGGGGTCGGACTTTCTGTTCCCAAGATTCATCCACAGGCAAATTTGCCTGTGCAACAGGCGATTGTGGCTCCGGAACAGTGGAATGTTCCGGAGCTGGAGCTGCTCCGCCAGCTACTCTGGCGGAGTTCACCTTGAACGGTGCTGGAGGGCTTGATTTCTACGATGTTAGCCTTGTGGACGGTTATACTTACCAATGCTTATAACTCCACAAGGCGGAGTTGGAAACTGTTCAACAACCGGTTGTGTTGTTGATCTTAATGGGTCATGCCCGAATGAGCTGAAGAAAATGATGAATAGCTTAAGTAGTGAGTGTGTGGGATGTAAGAGCGCTTGTGAAGCGTTTGGTGATCCAAAATATTGTTGTAGTGGATCATACGCGTCTCCTGATACCTGTAAACCAACGGAGTACTCATCGTTCTTCAAGAGGGCATGTCCGCGATCTTATAGCTATGCTTATGATGATGGCACCAGTACCTTTACTTGTGGTTCTGCAGATTATGTTATCACCTTTTGCCCTGTTCCTTCTGATAGGTATGTAGCAAACTTGCTTCCTCTGTTTTGCTTAACTTGTTGTGTCTAGAGGCAGACACAAGATTTCAAGTTTACAAGTTCTGAATTCATTCACATCCCATCTTACTTATTGGGTTTACAATAGGTTATTTACATATTGGACTTCCTAAAAGGTAACTTTGAGTTTCATATCTGAACTATCAACTATCATAATTCATGACAATTTAGGCCATGTAAGTCTAGGCCACATTTAACTAACATTGCACTTAGCTATCAATGGGTTTCGACTAAGTGTTTACATAAATCTTCTACTCGTAAGAAATAAGAAAATTCATGAACTGACCCCACCATCCCCACCTCAAGGAAATTACTAAATCACTAGTCATCCAAGAGTAACAAGACCGACCTTAGAACTCTGTTCAATAAGTTAAACATATTACTCTCAACATTAAAATACTTTTTCTGTTCCTTGATAATTATCATTTGTCTTATAATTTTGGTTTAATGTTGCAGCCCTAAATCACCTGGAGGAGGTGCTGGCGACGGATCGTCGGCCACGAGCCGCGGCGTATTAACCAATAGTCTATCACCATTCTTGACAAGCTTGATAATCACTATTTTAGCAGCAGTTTGGGATATGAAGCAGTTGCATTGATCTTGTACTGCAAAGGCGTATCCTGGATTTCGGACGGATAGGAGAACTATTACGAAAAGATGCATCTAACATATAAATTTTGATCGGTTTTAGTTATTATGTCCAACTTATATAATACTATTAGTTTTAAATTTTAATATACACATTTGATTTAATTATATATGAAGCAATTGCATTGATCTTGACACATGATTTCTGGGCTTTGAGCTACTGTGAAACCCTCTTTACTTTTTCATAGTCCATTTTTTAAATCTATATATCATCATTTATAATAGTGTAACCCCTCCCCATTGAACAAAGAGGATCCGTAGGGCTAGGTCACTCACATACTGGATAATAGTGGTGGAGCCATGATTTTCACTAAGGGGTTTCAAAATATGAAAGAAGTAAACACACAAAGATGCCAAAAGGGGTTCAACATCTACTGTGTATACACAAAAATATAATTTTAACCATGTATAAATAGTGAAATTTTCCACTGAAGGGGGTTCGGGCATACCTAGCTCTGCCCCGACTGGATAGGTGACTCGAAATTATAGTGTTAGTCTCATTCCTACAGAAAGCATGAAACTATTACAATCTTAGTAGAGAACAGATGAGTAATAAAAATGCTGGTTCATTGTTTTGTCTTTATAATCAAGAATGCACTACAATTGAATAAAAAACTTTTCAATCAAAGTGACCTTATATTAGTGAAAGTTATACGCTAAATTGATGTTGATATGTGTAATTAAAGGAGGGTGAATGTTTTATGCGATAATGGGCGCTTGAGAACACAAACATAAAATTTTCACTTTATCACGTGTTCAGGTGCTCAATTGAAACAAACTATAGTTCAAGTGTTTTAATGAAATTTACTAGCAAGTGTAAGGATTGTTTATATAAACCAAAGTTCAAAGAAATCATATCTCCTACCAAGACATTTATCAAGGATGCAGAAGCACATTTGAAAGAAGCTATTTAGGAACAAATATTGATCACTGAATACACGACGAAAAGCTATAGACCACTAGGCCACACTCTTGGGTGCCTACCTACATGATTTGACACTCTATTAAACAATTATTGGCAGCAACATGTAGAGATGCAAGTTTATACCTTGCCTTCTGCAGTAATAAGAGCAAAGAGATAACTGCAGTAAAGAATGAAGCACAAAAAAAGCAAATTATCTGGTAATGGAGACAAATAGAATTGAAATGGCTTCCAGGATGAAAGACAAGCAAAAAAGAAATGACTAACGGTATTAAGGTTCAACGGACAGACCCCATCTATCTCCATTTCCCAGTAAAATAATGGAACACTTGACAGCAAAACGAGCAAAGAGCAGTGAAAAACATATTGGGGAAGGCAAGTTAACACAACTGTCAAAAAGGCAAGTAAAAACATGTTTTAAGAACAGAAAAACAAATCTATGAAAAAAGTAAGCTCAAAGCAAAGAGAGCTCTTTGACAAAGCTTGATCATTAGGAGTGGCATACTCGGCATAGATTGCCTGACCACAAGTCTAGAAGCTTTTATCGCCTCAAGCCAACATGCAGATTTTGGTTACTTGCTTGCTTACTATGAAAGTAATGTTCATATAATTCTTGATATTTGTAGCTGCTCGTATAAAAAACTGAAAAGAACGGCCAAATTGCACATAAGATGGCATCTTTTTACTTTTTCAACGAGTCACTTAGGATAACATCTTCATTCAAACATCTATAGATCTGGGCAAAGAAATCACCTATAAAAGCTGAACAAAACATTACCCTAGAAGGAGCTTGAGTAACAACAAATATGCTTCGGAGAAAAAGGACACAGTCCAATATTTCCAAAGAAAGCCAGATTAGTCAGAGTACCTGAATATGTACATAAGCGCTGTATAAACATGAAACTAGCAAATGCTACAGGACATGAGAAAAAAGCTTCAGCATGTCCATCCAATTTATTTAGGTTGCAACTCTCACCAATCAAGCAACAAATTTCAAGCATCGAGTATCATTATGAATGGTCCGGCATTTGATTGAGCAGAAGCGCATCCCACACTGCACACATGTATAGGTCGAGGAGAAACCACAAACTGTGCAGAAATGACGGCGAGCAATGGAACTTGGAGGTCCTACTGCTGCTCTTAAATAGGTTGGCACATGTGGTGGCAAGGACTCTAGGTTTGCCTTCACAAGTAGAACAGTGAGAGGTTAATTTATGTCATTGAAGTAGAGGGAAAAAAAAACATCTATTAGCCTTGGAAAAATCTAATACCTCATTCAAGAGCTCAAGGAATGATTTGGGGGCTCTCTTGTTCTCAAGTGCCTTAGCTTGGCGAGTTTTCCGCTTTGTGCCTTTTGGGTATTTCTTATGAAATACTGGAATTAAAATAAAATAAATTGAAGTGAAAAAGTCAGAAAATTTTATAGTTATAATTGGAAGAGAAGAAATGAATAGGAGCATATACACCCTCCACTAAAGACCGGAAGAAAAGGTATAACAAAAGAAGTTTGCTGAAGGGATGAAAAATATAGAAGGAAACGAAAATAACAAGATAAAGATAGTCAATAAAAAACTTTATTGCCCTTGATTCTGGGCTATTATTTTCTGAATTAAACCTAACAAATAGATCCTAAAAATGAAAATAGTAGAAGAAGGTTATATTCGTTTCATTTCTTTCTCTATCTCTTCTTTTTGCTCATGGTCAGGCGGTCACCAGCTTCTGTAAAGAGCTTAACAGTAATGGTTCTTTGGATTGACCATTAAGCCATCAAGCACAAGAAGAGAATAAAGTCCCACAAATCCTTTGTTTTTCGTTCAACAGCAATGATTTTCTAGATAGACAACTACATTCTCTGACAAAAAGAGCATCAAGTCCCACAAATATTTACTTTACTCGTAGCCACTGTATAGGTAGTGATGCAGGCTCAACTTCAATGAACATGCAAACATAAGTGAATTACAGCTATGTGAAGCACTCCTTATTGAACATATGAATCAACTAAAGCCTGTAAATGTACAATCTGTAATACAGAAAGCACAAGTCCATGTTTTCTTCATACCATCCTTTATTGAGCAAACTAATCACCAAAGCCTGTGGAAGTATGATTTCCTGTAGAGTGTTGGTGAAAGATATATCTTCCTATCTATTATACGTGAAACATAACGCCAGCATAAATAACAAAAACTGCTTTCTCAGTCCGATAATGCTTAAGCGGAAGGAATATGAACAACAACAAATCAAAACTATGCCTCAATTTTAAACTAACTGGGACAGTTATACCAATATTTCATATCTATTTCCCATATTCAAGTCCATTTTAGTGGATGTAGCGCATCCCAACTAATGAATACAGTATTAGGAGGAATTCACCATACTTAGACTATTTTTACTCCAACCGTTAACCTATCACAACCCTCCTCAATCTAGAATGAAATCAGTATTAAGAGGAATTTACCATACTTAGATTATTTTTACTACAATCGTTAACCTAACACAGCCCTCCTCCTTTATTGAAACTTCTGACCAACTACATTATGGAAAACTCACAACCGAAGAACAAATTCAACTCCAGAGAAGCTAAAATTTGTTCCAAGCAGTAACATTTTCACATATTTAACAGATTTATGAACAAAAAAGAAAAAAAACCTTGATCCTCATCGTCAAGAGAAGCTTCATCATCATCATCAAGCAGTTGAGGTTCCACTACTGCATTATCACTTTCCAAAGCATCAAGCCGTGCTAGCATGGCCTACTCCGACAACGAAAAAAAACAACTATAGATCACCAAATTTAGCAGGATATCCAAAATTTGGGTGAAAACATAAGGTATTTAGAGTACCTGTGTTCTATTATCAGAACTGGCAAGAGCAGCAGCCATTTTTGGAGCAATTTTACGAGTTCGCATAGACATTCTCCGCGCTGAATTCGACATTTCTTCATCCATTGCTTCAAAAGTGAGATTCAAAACTACAAAATTAATGTACTACTTTTGGTTTTTTTTTCTTCACTTTCCTGATTCCGATACCAAAAATGAGAAAATTTGAGTTATCCGGTGACGAAGATGAAGAAGGAAGAGAAGTTCCCGTCGACGAAGGTGTGAACAGCAGCCGGTGACCGGCCGGCGGGAGAATTAGGGGTTAAAAATATTTCGAGTTCCGAACTGAGAGAAACGACAAACTATCCGACTTTTGAGTTTTGTTGAATCCCTGTATTTTCAAAAAACTCAATTCAGACCCCAAACTATACCAAATTGTATTATTGTCCCCCTATCTTTTTTATTTTTTTCCGAACTTAGCTTTATATTTCCCGTTTCAATTTGTTTGTCTTATTTTTCTTTTTAGTCTGTTTTAAAAAAAAATGTATATTTCCTTTTTAACAGCTCTTTAACTTCAATTTTCTACGTGACATGTTTACAACCACCAGAATAAATGACATTTTTATACATTCAACACATTTTAGTGTAAAACTACAAGATTTAGAAGTTTTCTTTATTTTTTAAACTCCATGCTAAGTAAAACAAGATAAGCAAAATTAAAACGAATGAAATAGTTCATTAAGACTCTGTTTGGATCATTGTTACCCATTGTATTGTATCGTATCGTTACTATACCTACAATGTTTGTTTTGATTGTTACTTAAAATGTATTGTATTGTTAAATTCCGTTGTTGCGAAACAATGAAAACCCTCATTTTATGGAACAACCAATTTGGTGTGTTTCCATTGTTACTTAATTTATTTTTCCAATTATATCTTTACGTAATATTTCATAATACTATTTTACCATTTACCTTATATTATTTAATTCTAGTGAAACCTCCTACCCTAGAATAATTAAAGATATTTTAGTAAATTTATAAATTACAATACAATACGATACAGTCAAACCAAACAATAAAAATGTTATTAAACAACAACAAACAATAACAGTCTAACCAAACATTGTATCTACCATACAATAGAGTACGATAGAGTACAATACATTATGAAACAATGGATAACAATGATCCAAACAAAGTGTAAAAGTTAAAACACTCTCATTATCAATTTATCTTCAACTTTAATAATCCCTTTAAATAAAGAACTAAAATTTTGGTTTAAATTTAGAGACAACAAACTATAAATACAAAATAAATTGATGTGTAGTAAAATTTCAAGGAAAAGGAAGAAATTAATTAGCTTAGTATTTGAAATATTCAAGGCATAATACATAGATATACACTTAAATTTGAAACGTCATGTGTGATAGCCAATAGAACAAGGAAGACATGACAATATTGTGATGAGCAGGTAGCTGAGCGTTATCGCAAGCTAATTCCACCACTGTATGTTTCATTTTGTTAGAGAAATAGTTAGTATCATTAGTTGGTGCTTTGGAGTTTATATTCAATACACAACTAAATCATTTCTTCTCAACAAAGTGAAAGAACTAAAGTTTTATGGGTTCTGAATACCAAAATTTTGATAAACTATTACAATCATAACTTGTCCATAGTGGAATCAGTTCATATTTCATAGTATATAATATAAGATCTGAGCTAGCTTTTTATAGTTTTGTATGTACAAAATAAGCATACTGGACACAGTAAACCTGCACTTTAAGTCTTCATCGCGTAATTCTGACTAGTAAAGGATAGCAATGATCCATCTCATAATTTGGCCAGGAATCATCACCCTCGACAAACCCCTGATGACGCCTCCAAACTTCTGCATCGTACATTTCATCTGTGCTGAAATGCAATCCGCTATCTTTAACTTCTCCGAGAAACTTGTCCAATGAGTTGCCTCTTCGGGGGCTGAAAAGTATGGCTTCAGAAGGGCCTTCCTCTTTTAACAGTGATTTGATAGTTCGGATGAGTGCTCCATGGAACTCTTTGAAGAAAGTGCTGCAAAATGACAAATGAAGTAAAACTACAGAGTAACTTTAGTAGACAAAAAGGAAAAGATCCGTCTTCTGTTCTTGCACGTGTACATGAAAGGCTTAGGTGACAACTATAAGAAACGAACTCCCATGCATTATAGGCAGATGCCAACGGGGGGTTTTCTTTGATCAAATTTGAGTACATAGTACCGTGGAAAAGGTTAGGTTGTCAGCATGGTCGTTATACAATTTTGTATAAATCATAGGGCTTTATGTTCTCCAAGTTAGCATTCATTTGCCATTGACGTGAAAACAATGACTCAGAGATATGATGCACTCAATTTACAACTTACAGCAGATTACTCAATGAGGAAAAGAACAGTTTAGTAAGAAAAGAGACAACTACCAGTCACTTGCAATGACGACATCAACTGTGTTGGCGATATCAGTGTCTTTTTCCTGACCCCAGTGCAGCATCAATGGCTTCACCTCTGTACCACCAAACGAACCAGAGTTGGCATTCACATTACGCTGTATATCTGAATGTTAAGTACATCTGAAGTAAAGAGATATGTGAAGCAATCGAGTAACTGAACCACTAATTAAGTTGGGACACCTTACACAATGTTTGATTGGCACAAGTCATAGTCAAAACTGATAGGGACAACAATAAAGCTTGGAGATCAATCACTGTTTGAGTAACTGGAAGCAAATAGAAGACTGACAACTCTTTTAAACGTTACCGGTAAATTTGTTTCACTGCATGATTACCAATCTATATCTTAGACTAGAGAAAAGTACGAAGTATAAATTCAGGATACTGCACAACTAATGGACAGGTGAAAAAGACAAGGTCTTAGAAAACACTACATTCTTCAACACACTACTGATGAATGACAAACAGCTTAATTACTAGGTTACTATTGGAGTTGACAAGCAAAAACAAGTGGCATGATCAGTAAAGTGGAAAATGAACAAATACACAATTTTTTCTCTTAGATCAAACACAAGTTTATTGCCTGAAACCCTTGAACAAGCACAGAGTATAATTGAGAAAAGGATCCCTCCAGGCTCCAGCACAAAGATGATTAGGTGGCATGGTTCAGCAGTCACCAACCTTTGTACTTATTTATCCTAACTGATACAGGTTGGTCCCCAGGACATAAAAAGCAAAGCCTCAACACGATGGATACTAGTGAATCCACAAAGTAATGAAAGAAAGAAGAGTAGAAGCAGAGTGCTTTTGTCCTTTTACCTTTTTGTACCAGAAATTGGCCAAAATCAGTGCAACAAATTGCAGTGCTCATCTCCCCACTACATCAAAAGGATACAATCAACAACTTGGGGATTTCCATCAGATATGAAAACATCCTGTGCTTCTGTGGTCATTGCAACGATCAATCCAGCTAAGCCATAGCCAGATCCAAGCTCAATGACTCTTTTTCCCCTGGAAGAGTCGAAAATCAACTGAAATCAGTTGAAGGTACAACCAAAAATATTATAATCTAATCTGAAATATAACATTTGTTAATACCTGAAAATGCTTGCATGTGACAAGCAGTAGTGGGCAAGGACATCCTCTGACGGCCATTGACCTGCTCAACAAGAAAGTTTATAAATTAGAAGGAAAAACCAGTAGCAATGATAGCAATCATGACATGGACCATTAAGGCTTACTAAATGATATGCACATTCTAGTATATAAATATTCCGTGAAGATCCAGTTGTTTACGAAAAAACTTTATTCCAGAACAGAAGAAATTAGTCTTTTAGACCGGAGTTAAAGAATCTTAATCTGTAAATGCTATTAACTAGAGGACAATTCCAATCATCAAAAGGGACAATTTATAGCCATGACTAAGTAGCTCACAGCATCAAATTGCAGTCGATGGAATACTTCATCGCCATGTAGAAGTATGTAAAGTGATGAGGTTCTTAGTTTTTAGAAGTTTGATTCATGCAGTACATCCAGAAGATTGCTTATTATCACAATGTTTGCTTGTCTTTTATCTTCTATAGTTGCAAATAACATCTATTTTTTGAGAAAAAGTATATTATTTTCAGTTTCATCATATTCAATTAAAAAACTAGCCAGCTCCAATTTCCTCTTCTTCAATTCACTGGGGGATTCAAAGGGGTAGGCAATAAGAAATAGCATTTCCTACAATATATAAGATCTTCTGTCCGAACTTCTGGAAAGAACGTTATGTTCAGAATGGCACCTAAAACAGAAGCCAACAGTGTGGGCTATATTTGATAAGTTAACTCTACACTTTTATCTCAAAAAAAAACTCTACACTTAGTGAACTCAAACAACAAACTACAATAACAATTTTAGTATTTATTGTTTCTTCATTTCACATTTAGATTCAGATTTCTTCTGTTAGTGGAGAAAGGTATCTACATTGACAAAAAACATGTTCTCCTACAAAAAAGGTCCTTGCTTACAGTGTAATCCCTCACTAAATGCCTTTTTGATTCTCAGAGTCTAAAATACCAGTCAGCATTTGGACTGTGGTTTACTTTAGCTAAGCAGTGAGTTTGACATCGCTAGAATATACACAGGCAATAAATACCCATCCAACACGGACAACAAGGATATTCATGTAGCTATCTAAGAAAATAAGATGCAACAATTTCCATATTCAACTTGGAAATTATTTTCTGATAATGGCGGTGTTCAGGGAATCTTGCACGCACCTCGACTAATTCACGGGGTACCTACTTGATCCCACCAACACAAGTACCGGGTAAGTCTTCCCACGAAGGCTTAGGCAGATCGGAAGAAATCACCTACTGTTGTTTCTCTGTTAGGAATTTCAACCACCTACTGCCCACAAAGGCTTAGGCAGACCTCCAAAATTTGCACCTACTTAATTGACCACTAAGTCACACCCTCAATGCAACTCAATTAACAACATTAAACAAAACTGGTCTGTGAGTCTGATAGACAGACATCAACTTTTATTTCTTTGGTGCTTAATGGAGAGGAATCAAGAAATAATCAGATGAAGGGGGTTAAGGATAAAGCAGCTCATTTTAGAGCAGAACCAGGACAAATTACAGACTTTTCTTGGTAAGTAAATAAAATAAAATGGAAGAATGCAAAATATACTTACAAACAAGTCCAGTGTTGTCAATATCATATCTATTGCAGAACTCAAAGTCATTAAGATGAGCCATATCATCCGCTCTCTGACTGCATTAAAGTCAAGCCATTAGAGATCATCAGGGAACACCATCAACCAGTTAATTTTGATGAAAGAATTATTCCCCATATTCAGTTAAATTTCTACCATCCAGGGCCAAAAGATGAAAAAACCAAGCAATGCAGGGGGGAATTACAAAACAAAAAAAAAACTCCCTCCGTTTCAATTTGTTTGTCTTACTTTCCTTTTTAGTCAATTAACAAAGAATGTCTCTTTCATTTTTTGGCAATTCATTAATTTTAACGTTGCACATGACATGTTTAAGACTACAAAATTAAAGAGGATTTTGGTACATTCTACGTACATTTAGTTTAAGACCACAAGATTAAAAAATCTTCTTTTCTTCCTTAAACTCCATGTCAAGTCAAAACTTGAAACGGAAGGAGTAATATTTTCACCCAAAATGAAGAATAGGGGAATAACTAAGCAAATCCATCAATCAAAATAAGGATGTCAATGTCAAGACTGATAAGACTAACTCATGAGGTGAGGGTTGCTCAAAAATCATATAAGAAGACCAAGTCCTCCACCCCACTACCGATATGAGACTTAATTGGTCCCAAAGTGTGAGGTTTTTATTTTTTCTGGATAATCGTTTTCTCGAGGTGCATGCTACCTCCTACCAACATCGATACCTAGTAACTTTGTCCACCAAATGTTGGACAAATGGAAAGAAACCGCCTAGAGTTTTTTGCCTCCGCTTGAATTTGAAACTGAGGCCTCATATAGTGTGACAACATGTGGGTGCCTCTGTGTGATTCAAGTCAAGGTAATGGATGCCCACCCACTACCCTCATACTACATCCACCCATAAGCAGGGGTGGAGCCAAGATGGTTGAAAGGGTTCATCCGAACCCCCTTTGATGAAATATAAGATATTATATAATATATATATATAGTTGAAATCATTTTTTATGCACATATAAGTAGATGTTGATTCCCTTGTTTCTTTGTGTGCTAATTTTTTTATATCTTGAACCTCCGTAGTGAAAAACCTGGCTCCGCCACAGCCCATAAGTGAAGTGAAAAAGAGGAAAATGAACTTTATCTTACCATACTCAAAAAAGAAGAGGGAAATCAACTTAGGAATAATGGAAACTCACTGTAGAATAAGTTGGGAAGCATTAGTAACTGGCAATGTATAGCATAATGTAGCATTCCGTGAGCTATCCATCGGATTCACATTTTCTTCAACACAGTCTTTCATCAGATGAAATGGTATCAAATTGAACCCATGAGTTGCCTTTCTAGATATTCGCTGAATACCCATTTCAAATTTATCTTCTGAAACACAACAATTCAATCCAAATTATTCAAACCCAGAAAACAAATTGAGCAAAAAATTAGTCTTTTTTTGTAACAGAAAAATACTTAACAATGCCTATATCTGCAAAAAAAACCTCAACCCCAGAAGGTAAAGTTACTTAACAGATCCCATGGGTTGGTTTCCTTGATATTCACTGAATACCCATTTCAGATTCATCTTCTTAGACACAAAAATTCAATCCATATGATCAAAAATCTCAAAAAATTGATTATGTGGGCATGTGTGTATATACAGATATATGTTTGAATGTACGTAAAAATACAAAATTTAGACCTGAATTGGATGAAGAGCGACGAATAAGATTACGACGAAGGATTTTCCATCGAAGAGACGATGCATTTGTTGTTGATTTTCCGCTATTTGCCTCCATTTTTGCACTTTCTTCAGCTCGCTTTTTCACTTCTGTGTTAACAGGGAGAAAGTGTCTGAATCGTGATGTATATGAGTACCAATACGACGTAGTTTAAGCTGTATCTAGCACTCACTGATTTAAAATTCAGTTTAATTTTTTAATGTATATAAAGAATTTTTACATTATCAGATAACCGTAGTGCAAATACACAAAACTATTATAACCACCATAGATTGTGATAGGATAGCAAGTTTACCTCCATCTGTAATCAAAGGTTTAGGATTACGGGTTGTGGAAATGAAGTCACTTGGAAGAGTTTTGCGTCTAAATGGACAGATAAAAGACATGAATATAGTCAACACGAGCTGATGACTAGTGCTTACTCGGAATTCCTCGTTAAAAGGTTAATAATTATAACAGTGAGAAGAATCGCGGAGCAATCTGTAATAGTCAAATACAATCTCCATCAATTTTGTAATGAAGCTGAAAGGATGAAAAGTTGCACAATCCTCACAATAATGAATTTAAAAAAAAATAAAAATGCAAGGACTACTAATCTACATCCATTTACAAACATATACACCAAAAGAATAATTCCAGGCATATCATTTCAATGATCACTTAAAAAACTGGGCATCCTTTAACCACAATCCCTTCAGCAGTTGGACATTTAGCCAATGGGCATCGATCTGCGTCACTTCCCCACCAGTTAAGCCTAACATGCTCCATTCCCAAGCATAAATACAACAACACCCCCATGAATGCTAATCCAGCATCTAACGCGCCAGATAAAACATAATTGTGACGACTCCATAATTTCTGATTGTATCTATAAACAACAAATCCAGAGAGAAAAGCTATGATGATCCAACTGTTGTAGTTGACAGAAGTAGCTGGTGGCATATTCATTATCCCAGCTAATAGTACAGGCACTGTGATTAACCTGATCCACTGCTGGCTAGGGAAAGTCTTGTGCGCGATCCAAACAATGACAGGAGCTATAGCTCCAAATAAGAAAGCCCAGTTAAGGGCGGAGTAATGGCCAAGGTTTCCAAAAATTCTTTGCGGCCCAATCAAACCCCAGATGACTGAGGCATCATAAAATACATGATCGCCTGGGCAGGTCCACGGGCTTCCAGGAGGAAGCAAAGCCCTGTCACAAATATCCGGGACAGTGTCTATGAGCCACCATGCTGTTCCAAGATGCACTAAAGCTGATATCAACGTTCCAGCAACCTGATTAAAGAGTTCAAAGCACAAAGATTACAGCTTGTAGGACTATTCATTCAACTAGGCACCGAGATAGTTTCACGTGCCAACATGTATAGATTTACAGATGCAGAAGGAAAAGAAAAGCCAACCTGAGCCATAAACATTGCTCTAGGAGGAATCTTCATGTAATGCCCAAGCTTTAAGTCTTGTAAAAAGGTTAATCCCTGCTTCATGCTGATGTAGCCGTACACCTTAAAGCACATGTTAGCTACTGGATAACCGGGGTACAAGTAGCCAATTATGTACTCCGTTATCACATTCAACCCAGGAGTCTGCGCAAAGAGACAATGGAATGTCAGAACAACAAAGAATTGCGTGTGGCGTTTGAATAGAAGATAGCTTATATATCCTCATCTAAGACTGCATTATGCAAAATTCCGATGCTCTCATCTAGAGTATGCAAAATACAAAATCAACTAGAATGCAGAAGACAGATACCAAGGTAATACCTGAAAAAATATGCCAGTTTTATTACTTACGTAAGTACTAGTCTCAGCTAATGTATGGCAACATATCAGTATTCCTAATGGAATAAACCATTGGGTAGGATGCGATCAACAAAAGCTATGGATGATTGGAAAGCTGTGAAACAGAATATAGCACATTACTTGGTTTGTGGTGGCAGTGATAACTCCAACCGGAAGGGTGAAAAAGAAAGCAAGACCGCACGCCAGCAAGACGCCCCACCATGGTAATTGGAGCTGCGTTTTGTAATATTCACATATAAACACAGTAGCGGCAATATTTACAAGAAGAATGCTTAAGAACCACCATTCAGGAACTTGCTTGTATTTTCTCATGAGCTTTGTGTGAATATCCATTTTCTTCTCTTGGAAAGCAGACTTGCTCAGCTGCCACAGGTCTCTACATATCAAAAGCCAATGAGTTGATTATTTGCTGCCGCGTGCACTAAAGCTAAAACTAGCTCAATACTCAAATAAGGAACACAGAGAGTATAACAACGCAAAGTTTCACTTATCTTTGTTTTCTCCACATTAGGAACACGGAGAAGTTTTTGCCTTTGTACTTCCCTCAACAAGATGAGGAGAGAAAGAAAACCATTTAGTAAAGAATTCAGGGAATCCCTTTTTCTAATCACATAAACAGAATTTACAGACCTATTATAAATTTCTGAGCATTCATGTGTTGGAAGCTATTTTTAGCAAGTTCTTGTTTTACTAGTGTATCCTAATAGCACTTATCTTTTTTTTCCCACCCCTATTAGTTTTCACTTCTTTCTGGTGACCCACTTCACTTTTAATGTAACACCATAGTGCAGCTAAGATTTGCATGGAGTATCAGATATACAGAAATGGTGAAACTTATCATACTAACACAATTCAATCCATCAGCAGCAGCCTTTGAATATCACGTGGTCTAACATTTATACCTATTAACTCAACTTTTGCCTTGGACAAGGTCTTTTTCCAGTAGAAAGCACACATATCGCTTGCAAATCACTTTTTGATTGGTATGTCACTTATAAAATATTTTTAATCACAAATTGAATATAGTGACCCTCTCTGATTCTTTCTGAATTCTGATTTAAATGTTTTACCATAGAATCACTATATCACGAATATTATCTTTGGCGAAATCTGTAACTATTTCAGTTGTTTAGTGTATAACAACCTACATACTAAGCTATTCCTGAAACATTACAAAAAACGATCCTTTTAATCTTTAGTGACAGTTTAGATGTGAAGCACGTTGCACCAAAAACACATTAAAGCATTGTAGAAATTCAGAATAAGAGAATCAGATATATAGAATAGTATATAGACAAGAGATACAGATACAGAGATGCACATAAATAGGCATCAAACCTGTAAGTATTATCAATTGTCCAAGATTGCAACTTACCGTCCATGGAAGAGGAAGACATGAACGACTGTGGCACTGAGGCAAGCAAAGCTGAATGCGTAAGTCATTGAAAAGAAAGTGCTGAGGTAGAGAGGGCCCTCGTGATCATATGCATTGAAATCAATATGGAAATTTTGATCAACAATGGCTGAAATATTATATGTTTGACCATCTGATGTGAAGAGGCCGTCTGAGAATATTGGAAAGGTTTTGGCTTTGTACACATTGGACCAGTATATAATAGGTGTAAAAACATACATAATGAGAAAATATCCAGCAGCAATGTTTGCAGTGGCGAACCATGGACTAGCTAGTGGGCTTCCGAGATAGGAGGATATACTAGACCAATCGAGTCCAATGGCACCCATTCCAAGACCATGAAGCCCAGAACCCAACTGTTGGGCAAGGACAGAAGCTGGGAATAACCAACATAGCCATGAAAGGGAACTTAGCATCGGGAAAAGGTAACCTGGAAAGACATAGTAAGCAAAGCTACATAAAAAGGCAATGAGGAAGAACTGGTTTCGTGTCAATTCGTTCTTGGCTCTTTCTTCTTTTTCATGAAGGGCCCTGCCATTTAGAAATGAAAACCACAATAAGCATAGTAATCATAACAACCACTAAACAGCATTTATTTGTTTACAATTCTCTCCTAAATACCACATATTTCAACTACTTGACCTTAAAGATTTATTCAAGTTCCTCCAGCACGCCACGATCCAGTATATGGAAAGGTTGAATTACATAGAGAGTAAGTGGGATATTGTTGATCCTCCTGTAATTGGAGGGGGGGAAAACTCTTCAATGATCCTTATTCATACCATACAAATACAACCCCTTGTTATCGCAAATTATGAGGCAGATTCGACCACTTGGATATGGTATCCTCCTAAGTCCTAAATGTAATGGAGGTCACCAACCTAATCATGGGTAATCTTGATCGCTCACCGATCCTGGTCAACTAATTTAAAGACGAAAGACTTGCTGATTACATAGTGACTCAATGCCTTTGCAATTACTCCAACTCTGGTATGATGGAAGTTACTTTTCATGAAAATTATTTTCTTTAGTTCCTAAATGAAACATATTTTATAAATAAAAGAACATGACTAAATGAGTATATATTAAGACTAATAATATTATTAGCAAACCAGAGGCATGAAATTTTCTTGAGTACTACATATTGATGTCTTTGGTTGGAGCAAGTAATTTTCACAGCGGAAGGAAGTCCTTTTTTTCCTTTTTAGTTATTAACACTAAAATGTACTCATGAAAAACGCTTCTTTTTAAAAAGATTCTGCAGTATCAAATACACAAATGAAAGACACTGTAGTAGAATCTCTTCCCACAAAAGATGTGTCAAGGATAGTGGTGGCAAAAATGGTTAAAATTTACTGTTATCCATCCCACACGACCCCTTTTAAATGGGTTGTGTAATTATTTTAAAGCATAATATATAAACATGATTCTTAATTTGGCTTAGCGGACAACTACGCCTCCAACTTTGAGTGTGCATAAGTAAACACTTAAACTTGTATAAAATTGAACAAATAGACGCATGTGTCCTACATGACATAATACACATGAGACGCCACGTAGGATACAAAATTGTCATGTAGGGTGCCATGTAGAATGAATGTGTGTATTTGTTCAATTTTATACAAGTTTAAGTGTCTACTTGTTTACACCCAAAATTAAAAATCATAATTGTTCACAAACGCCAAGTTAACGGTCATATTTATGTATTATGCCTTATTTTAATAGTGGATCAAATATAGATCAGCCTATATTATCCATCATAAAATATTTTATCATATGACTCTCGTGGCATCCGTCAACTGTACTCTCCTTAAAAAGCATGTAAGGGTGTAGGAATTACAGAGAAGTACAAAAAAATGTTTTATAATTTTCATATACTTGGTTGACTTAACGATGTTTTGAAAAATAACATTCTTACCTAAAACAAAAACATTTTTAAAAATTCTCTTTTAACCTTAGGTCTCAAATGTTGACTTAAAAATCAACCGACCCACATCGAATTCAGACTCTCAATCCCAACCCGACCCATTTTGCCACCCGTAGAAAAGGATTACACTACCTACTTGTTCTGCCACGTGGCAGAAGCCCAGCTAATATCACAAAAGATAAGGAAATCCATATGATAGCTTTGAGTGGATTGTTATGTACCTGAAAAGAGAAACTTGAACAAGATTGTGGGGCCACCACATAGCAGCGGGCTCCACCAAATACTTCCGAAAAAGCCCGGCCCATCCAAAGCCCAATACCTGC